CAGAGTTTAATAACTGTGATAGGATTAAAAACTGTAGTTACTCCACAATACTAACCTAAATGACATGGTGAAAAGAAGGACGCCTGTCCAGAATACAAATATTCCAAAAACATGCATCCTGTTTGCAAGAAGTAAAACTAAAGTAAAACTGCAAAAAATGTGGCAAAGAAATTAACTTTATGTCCTGAATACAAAGTGTTATGTTTGGGGCAAATCCAACACAACGCATCACTTAGCACCACTCTTCATATTTTCAAGCATGGTGGTGGCTGTATCATGTTATGGGTATGCGTGTCATCGGCAAGGACTAGGGAGTTTTGTAGGATAAAAAGAAACAGACTAGAGCTAAGCACAGGCAAAATCCTTGAGAAAAACCTGGTTCAGTCTGCTTTCCACCAGACACTGGGAGATAAATTCACCTTTCAGCAGGACAATAACCTAAAACACAAGGCCAAATCTACGCTGGAGTTGCTTACCAAGAAGACAATGAATGTTCCTGATTGGCCGAGTTACAGTTTTGACTTAAATCTACTTTAAAATCTGTGTCAAGACCTGAAAAGGGTTGTCTAGCAATGATCAACAACCAATTTGACAGAGCTTGAAGAAGAATAATGGGCAAATGTTGCACAATCCAGGTGTGGAACGCCCCTGTGGAAACTTACCCAGAAAGACTCACAGCTGTAATCGCTGTATTGACTCAGGGGTGTGAATACCTATGTAAATGAGACATTTCTGTACTTCATTTTCAATAAATTTGCAAAAAATTCTAAAAACATGTTTTCATTTTGTCATTATGGCATATTACATGTAGATGGGTGAGAGAATTTTTTTTTTATTTAATCAATTTTGAATTCAGGCTGTAACAACGAAATGTGGAATAATTCAAGGGGTCTGAATACTTCCTGAAGGCACTGCATATATCGGAACTATTACCTGGATTAAACTGAAGGAATAGTTTTTTTCCATGCCGTGCGAAAGGAGCACACTTCCTTCACTGATTAGCAAAGGCACTTAAATCACCTACAATCCAATAACCCAACATTGCGACTAATAAAAAAATCCCATTGGTATTGAGTGGTCTATAGAGGGGTTAATAATGAAGAATAGAGTGCTCCTGTATGACAGGATGACATTAACAGGAAGTGTTACTCAACTGTCTACATTGATCATCACAGATAGACAAGGACATATTTGGTGTTCTACACTAATTCTGTCAGACACTGCCTTTATTCCACAAACACAATATGGTGCAAAATGCATACACTGTCTGATTCATTATAGTCACTTCTCTGAACAGCACAGTTTGTGTAACTATACAAAACAATTAGCTATTTATCCAAATAAATGTTTTCTCATAAATCACAATTATACATTTTGGATCCAAGAGTTAAAGGTCTAATGCAGCCATTTTTATGTCAATATCAAATCATTTCTGGGTAACAGTTAATCACCTTACTGTGATTGTTTTCCATTAAAATGTGTGTTCCCACGGGGGGCCAGTATGAAAAAATAAATAAAAAATGTATGCACTCACTAACTCTGGATAAGAGCGTCTGCTAAATGACTAAAATCTAATCTAATTCTAAAATGGTCAAAAAAAAAAAAAAAAAAGCTTCTTAGCTAAATGCAATTTCTCAAGCAAGAATTTTGCTAGGACTGTCTGGGAGTGGTCTGAGAGAGTGGCCTAATTGGAGGAGCCTAATTGGAGGGATGTGTAACCTGAAAACTAACAGAAAGGAGGGCGAACTCTCTTTGTTATTGGTCTTATAACTTTAAAAAACCCACCCAGCCAAACAGGCTGAAATGTCAGGCAGTCTTTTCCAAAAGCTCTTACACTAAAAGGACATTATCATAATTTTCACAATCTCACAGTATTATTCCAACCTCAGTGTGGAAATATATATAAAACACAGGAAAATCAAGCTTTTGACTGCACTGGGCCTTTAAGTCAACAAGGAAATAAGAGGATCATTTCGTAAAAGAGATGAGGGAGTGTGTGAGAGAGTGATTTAAAACGAAGCTGTCTTTAAAAGACACAAGTGCTCTCGCCCACTTGCGGCAATTAAGTTTAATGTGCAGTGGTTAACCCACGTCATTAGTTTCCCTCACAGATAAACAAGTAGTAGAGCCTGGGTACTGTAAACTCTTTCCCTCCTGGCATGGTGGGAGCACCTCCGCTCCTCTCAGACAGACAGAGAGCACTATACACGCTCTGCTACAGCTGGACCTGGGCCAACGGGCACCTCTCCATGTATGAATTGTGCATGCTGTGAGAACACTATTATTAGCAAAGTGTATGGTACTTTTGTTCTGGGATGTTTTCTTCCCTTCTTCATATTCCCTGCTATGTTATGCAATGGATAGTGAGTGAGTTAACTGGGGAGTTGAGGGGCCAGGGGAATCTGGCTACAGGTACAATTTGTCCTTCACACAATCTGTTATTGTATGATTTGTTGCAACAGGTTTCTGCAATAGCAGTGATGTATCTGCAATGCTTTGTGCACTTTCGGAGAATGTATTTGCAAAGCTTTGTGCACTTTCGGAGAATGTATTTGCAAAGCTTTGTGCACTTTCGGAGAAAAAAACATTCCTGTTGAGTTTGTGGATTTTTGCCCATTTTATTGAAAACAGTTTCTGCAATATGTGTCTTTTGCTTTAGAATAGGTTACATGTGCTATCCAACAGAACATGTGCAACGTATTCAGGGCTAAGTTCAAATGCATGTTTTTAGTTTACCACAGATGGCCTTGTTCATCACACGCTGATGATACCAATTACAGGTCAGGTTAGCAGCAATGTCTTTCTCTCTCTCTTTCTTTTTTTTTCTCATTCTCTTCCTCTACCTATGTATCCCTCTGTGTATGCCAATTAGGATCATTCAAATCAATAGTTGGAATGAATGAGGTCAATTTGTGGACAACACAGTGACAAAAGGTGGCGCTTTGTGTTTTGTGTTCATTCATGCATGCCTCGGTGTCTGGTGTGTGTGTGTGTGTTGTGTAATATTGTTTTCACCATGGCCACCACAGCACCAACTGAATTTACAATGTATCAAATTACTGCAAGCAGGAATTTAATTTGGGTAGATCTTTTGATAAGTGAATTGAGTTAGGATTGCAAGTATACCAATGTGCATACTGTTACGAAACCGTAACTAGCCTATGGATATTGTTGGACTCTCTTTGTCTAGGGGTCCTAGGCCTAGTAACATGGTCTGTAACCTGACTCGTTATGTCTAGGGATCCTAGGCCTAGTAACATGGTCTGTAACCTGACTCGTTATGTCTAGGGGTCCAAGGCCTAGTAACATGGTCTGTAACCTGACTCGTTATGTCTAGGGATCCTAGGCCTAGTAACATGGTCTGTAACCTGACTCGTTATGTCTAGGGGTCCAAGGCCTAGTAACATGGTCTGTAACCTGACTCGTTATGTCTAGGGATCCAAGGCCTAGTAACATGGTCTGTAACCTGACTCGTTATGTCTAGTGGTCCTAGGCCTAGTAACATGGTCTGTAACCTGACTCGTTATGTCTAGTGGTCCTAGGCCTAGTAACATGGTCTGTAACCTGACTCGTTATGTCTAGGGATCCAAGGCCTAGTAACATGGTCTGTAACCTGACTCGTTATGTCTAGGGGTCCTAGGCCTAGTAACATGGTCTGTAACCTGACTCGTTATGTCTAGGGATCCAAGGCCTAGTAACATGCTCTGTAACCTGACTCGTTATGTCTAGGGATCCTAGGCCTAGTAACATGGTCTGTAACCTGACTTGTTATGTCTAGTGGTCCTAGGCCTAGTTAACCTGAATTAATGTGTGCATTTATGTGAGAAATCAGCGTTTGAGGACCGTGTTGGATGCACATGTGCCCAGGAGACAGCAACTTACCGAGTTTAGGGCCAGCTCCGTCTTAAACCTGTTGGTTGGCCAGTCCAAGTGGATTATTATTTGTTCAGATGGTGATGAAACATAAATATGTACAAAAAGGAAGAATGACAAAGGCATGCCCAATCTAAACAAAACCAGCAGCCTCACGGCTAGCCAGCTGGGACACTGACTGACGATCACCCTAATTGGCAGCACCTGATGTGTTTTATTAACTAGGCTCAGCACCTGGACAAGGTTGCTGCTGCCCCCTGGGGGAATGGAGTGTGGACGTGTAACCTGGATAGTGTGTTTGTCTATGTCCGAACACTAGCCTTGCCCCCATATCATAACAATACTGTATGTACGGAAGTAGGCTACACATTCACAAGTATGTATTTGTCAACCAACCTCCAATTGGGAAACACAAACATGTTGTCACACCCCAGCAAGGTGCGGATTGAAATCTGGCCAGTGTACAGAGGCTACGTCCCAACATTTAACAGAGGAGTCCTCCCACTTCTCCTCTTCTCCTTGCCCAGTCCTGCTACTCCTCAGGCTTCATCCCAAACCTCTTAGCACTATTTACATAATAGTGGAGGATTAGTCAGCATGACATTTAGGCCATTCCATTCTAAAGATCTGAATCAAGGAATAAACAGGGACTCCTACGCTCTTCAGGAGGAAATATTTATCTTTGCACATAGAGCGTCTTGAGTCAGTGTCAACACTACTGAGAGACACAATACAATTCTTGGAAGGAAAGATGTGACCGTTTTAAGTGGAGGATGAGTGATTGAATGAGAAGTGAGTGTTTCTGTCTTGGATTGTGTATAAAATCACTCACAAAAGAGCAACTGGTTGACCTGATCAGAAACGCCATCTGGAGGGGAAAGTTGCTGCACCTGTCTCTATGCGCTGCCTACATTGCATACAGTACCAGTAAACTGTATATTGTAGCATGTTCCACACTGTCTTTCTACTCTTCTACCGAAGTCCCCCGAATAGAGCCCTCCTTAGTTTGAAGTATTATTCCGATTACAGAATATACATTGTACTCTACTCCAGTAACAAAGCTCTAACTGCCTACAGTACTCTTACGGCTGTGTTAGTAACATGTAACTCTGTCTTCCTCTACAGTAACCACCACACTATCGCCAGGCTCGGGCCACGCCAGAAGATGCAACGACACAGAGAAGGATTACTGCGTGAATGGCGGCGACTGTTACTTTATACATGGTATCAATCAGCTCTCCTGCAAGTGAGTCCTCGCCGCTATTTCAGGATTTGACCTAGTGCAACATTTGATGGTATTTTGAACTGTACTTGGACAATTGTCTTTGTTTTCAGCCTCTGTCTTCTTTCCTTCTTGTAATGAGAGATCAATTGCAGGATCAAGACTCCAGTCATGTCAAGTGATTTCAAACCCTCTTCTCCAACATATCAGAGCCCTATTCCCTGTCTCCATCATATGATTGTAATCTCCATCTATCCCCCCATTCATCTTCCTCTTAGCATCCCTCCAGCCCCCTCTCTCTTACAGGAGGCCCGGCATAGCAGAAGAGTACAGGAAGGCACTGCCAGTATGTAAAGATGTCTATTGTAGGGGTTTGTGTCTCTTTCATGTATACTTTGGTTGCTGATAAGGAGGATAGATTGTGGTCTGCTCATCATTCTCAGCCCACGTTTAGCGTGCAGGAGCCTCACACATGAAAAGGCCTTTAGAAATGTCATGATTCACTGGTATTGTAAGGAACAAATATTTACGCCAGTCAGAGGCCTCGAGCGAGCTAAAGAGAATTGTTGTTTACATCTCAAGACCTTTGAAACGAGGGTCAGATTTACAACATTGGTTTTAAATCAAGTGCGCTAAAAACATTTTGTTTTTGGAAGATAAATGTTTTTCTCTTGATTGTGAATGTGGCAACGATGAGCTGATTAGCTTTCTAGGTAAGATTCTGCTTCATGTGTACTGGATGTACTAGCTATATGCTAGTTTGAACGTGTTGATGTGCATTTGAATATTTATATGTTGAAATGTGTAGGTGTGCAGAAGCTGTAGTATAACAGCATATGCAAGAATGTACATAGAGTATATGCGTTTGTATACTGGGTGTTGGCCTTGCAAAAGACAAGTCTTTGCAGCAATTTCAGAACAAGTAAATGTTTACGGTGCTGTAATCCTGCATAGTAACAGTTTGCATCAATATGACAGCCTGTGCCAGGGAAAGAGTGGTGTGCTGTTGTGTTTTACATCTCTACAGCTACAGTATCACCTATTATAGTGTGCTTTGGTCCATGATGTAAATATCACATATGCTTCCATATTTGTCTAAGGTGAAGAATGGTGTGCAGGTCCACTGGCCAGCCGTTGTGTGTGTTCAGCTGGCCCCAGGAACACTGTTCAGCAAGCAATGAGGACATGGCTGCAACAGCCATTCGATAAGCTGTGTACAAATTGGAGGGAGCAATAACTCAATTGCTGCAGCTAACTCACTCACGGTTGAGGCACGGGTCCAAAAAAGTCGAATAATGCAGTGGAGGCCTGCAGGGAATTGTTGCCCCAAAGCCATCTCATTCAATATAGGCCAGGCTTCAGCGGGTATTACTCACCGTCTGAACAAGTCCAGCTGACAGCTGGCCCTATTGTTATGCCCTTGACTTTGAAGTATAACGTTCTTTAGAGGGAAGGAAAAGTTTTAACGAATGACCCTATAGGTAATTATGTCCCTGACATGTAGCGCTGTATTTCATAATACACAATATCAGCCACATCAGCAATGTCTGCTCGATAAGGATTCCTGCAAGTCAGGGACAAAAAGACGGACGGGAACAGTGAATGGCATGAATCAGGATAGAGTACGAAAGCTCTGTTATGCTCTGCGCAATAGGTTGGAGGTACAGTACATGTAAGACTCAACAGGCCATTATTCTTCATGAAGGATAAGGGACTCCCTAAGGAGAATACTCATCAGATATCTGACTGCTAACTGCCTTTGGGTTCAATACTGTCAATTTAGTCTAAGGGATTTGTTCTGCCTAAATGCTAGTGGGCTATGTATGGGTGTCACGTTCGTTGAACGACTGGTTGAACCAAGGCGCAGCGTGATATGCATACATGTTTATTTGAACCGAATAAACAACGACAAAACAACAAACTAAACGAAACGTGAAGTCCAAGGTACACATCAACATACCTCACACGGAACAAGATCCCACAACCCACTAGTGCCAATAGGCTGCCTAATTATGGTCCCCAATCAGAGACAACGAGCGACAGCTGCCTCTGATTGGGAACCACACCGGCCAACATAGATCTAGACATACTAGACTATAAACATAGATCTACACCACATAGGAAATCACACCCTGACTCAACAAATAAGAGTCCCCAGAGTCAGGGCGTGACAGTACCCCCCCCCCCAAAGGTGCGGACTCCGACCGCACAACCTTTACTTAACAGGGTAGGGGCCGGGTGGGCATTCCACCTCGGAGGCGGATCCGGCTCCGGGCGTGACAACCACCTATTCTCCGCCTCCCTGTTGCGCCCCTGGTCTGGTCTGGACCTCGGCGCACTGCTTCCCCTCTCCTTCCTCCCACTATACTCCAAGCCCTGTCTGGACCCTGGTGTGGGAGACCCCGAACCTGGAGAGGGGCTGACGTCTGGGTCTGGACTAGAGCCGCTGACCGGAGCTGGACCAGGCACCGGTGGAGCGGACTGCTCAGGTTCCGGACTGGAGCCGCTGACCGGAGCTGGACTGGGCACCGGTGGAGCGGCCTGCTCTGGCTCCGTAGTGGAGCCGCTGACCGGATCTGGACTAGACCCCGGTGGAGCGGACTGCTCTGGCTCCGGAGTGGAGCTGCTGACCGGAGCTGGATTAGGCACCGGTGGAGCGGACTGCTCTGGCTCCGGAGTGGAGCCGCTGACCTGGATCTGGACTAGACCCCGGTGGAGTGGACTGCTCTGGCTCCGGAGTGGAGCAGCTGACCGGAGCTGGATCATGCACCGGTGGAGTGGACTGGTCTGGCTCCGGACTGGAGCAGCTGACCGGAGCTGGATCAGGCACCGGTGGAACGGGCACGGGCCGTGCCGGACTGGACACACTCACCACTGGTCTGGTGCGAGGAGCGGGCACGGGCCGAACCGGACTAGGAACATGCACCACTGTCTTGGTGAGAGGAGCAGGAACAGGCCGGGCCGGACTGGCGACACGCACCACTGGCTTGGTGCGAGCAGCGGGAACAGGCCGGGCCGGGAACACGCACCACTGGTTTGATGCGAGGAGCAGGAACAGGCCGGGCCGGGCTGGCGACACGCACCACTGGCTTGGTGCGAAGAGCAGGAACAGGCCGGGCCAGGCTGGCGACGCGCACCACTGTCTTGGTGCGAGGAGCAGGAACGGGTCGGGCTGTACTGGGAACACGCACCACTGGCTTAGTGCGGGGAGCAGGAACGGGCCGGACCGGGCTGGCGACGCGCACCACTGGCTTGGTGCGAGGAGCAGGAACAGGCTGGGCCGGGCTGGCGACGCGCACCACTGGTTTGGTGCGAGGAGCAGAAACAGGCCGGGGCGGGCTGGCGACGCGCACCACTGTCTTGGTGCGAGGAGCAGGAACGGGTCGGGCCGTACTGGGAACACGCACCACTGGCTTAGTGCGGGGAGCAGGAACGGGCCGGACCGGGCTGGCGACGCGCACCACTGGCTTGGTGCGAGGAGCAGGAACAGGATGGACCGGGCTGGCGACGCGCACCACTGACTTGGTGCGAGGAGCAGGAACGGGTCGGGCCGTACTGGGAACACGCACCACTGGCTTAGTGCGGGGAGCAGGAACGGGCCGGACCGGGCTGGCGACGCGCACCACTGGCTTGGTGCGAGGAGCAGGAACGGGTCGGTCTGTACTGGGAACACGCACCACTGGCTTAGTGCGGGGAGCAGGAACGGGCCGGACCGGACTGGCGACACGCACCACTTGCTTGGGTTCCTTTATTAACCCCCGCTCCTTCTGCTGCCTAACCAGCTCCTCTCGCCGTGCCTCTACACTTTCCTTCTCCCTTTTAGCCTCCTGTAGCGCCTCCCTCTCAGAGACAACGAGCGACAGCTGCCTCTGATTGGGAACCACACCGGCCAACATAGATCTAGACATACTAGACTATAAACATAGATCTACACCACATAGAAAATCACACCCTGACTCAACAAATAAGAGTCCCCAGAGTCAGGGCGTGACAATGGGTTTGCTTGGTTTATGTTGAAAGAAGATATTTAATCCTGTTTAAACACTCAAACCGATTTTGATTTGTTTCAATATGTGCTCTATAAGTGTGTTATTTTATGAGGACTGAGTTCAACATTTGTTTATTTTACGGAGACAGTCATTTCTCCAGAAGCCCTTGTTGTGTGATCCTCAGGTTAACATATCACTCAGTAAGAGTAATTTGGCAAGGAATAGCATAATACTCCTGGGAGGCATTTTGTAAATCTCATAAATCATGAGGAATTGCTTCTGTTGGATTGGCGGTCCCGTTGGTGGAGAGAGAGTGTGACATTTTGGCACCGCTCAATGAACAGCACATCCTGATTTGAAAGGATTATGGGAGAGGGGGGCAGAGGAGTCAGAAGAAGAAGAAGAATAGAATGATTGTGGGAGGGGCTGCTGCAGCGTTTTTGATTAAGTGGACAGGTGTCCCCATAAATATGGTTGTGGTGGTTCAAGAGCAAACTCAACAGAGCTTTCCAACATGAGACGTGACACTGTAACTCTGTGAGTCAACTGTCTTTACCAAATGAAATGCACTCTGCTGAACCAGACAGGCAGAAAGAGGAACGAACATCATGGCCAATTTATGTGGTTGCTATAAGATAAAGTGCAGAGGCCGGGGGCCTCTTTCTTTTAAAATGTTTTTCTTAATAAAGTTTCAAAATATGATTACACTACTACACGTGACCCAAGTCAAACGACGGAGGGCTATTTGCAAGCCCACGTGAAAAAGGAAGAGGTCAAGAGGGTAGAAAGAGAGAAGGAGAGGGGGATGGTGTGATTAGAGGGGGTTGTTTCGTCCCTGTGGGTCGGCCTCCCCCTGCACCCCTCTACCTGTACATGTAAGTTGTATACTTGAAATGTTTTTTTGTTCCCTCAATTATTTTTCACTGCCGTATGAACGTATGTTTATATATATATATATGTATGTGTGCATATATAGACATGATTATTTTATTTTGCTATAGCAAATACAGTGTTTTATAAGCCCATGTGGGCTGGGCATCCTGAAGATGCATGACACTATAATAATAAAATAAATAAAATAAAATCATGTAGGCCCACCCCTCTGGCACTCTCAATCAGGGCAACATTGTTTCCATGACCTCTGCCTTCCTCACCGGTGTACCTGTCAGTTAAAGCCTGTCTGCAACACGGAGGGGGAGGTGGGGACGGGCGGCATTATATCCGCAGAATTTTAGATATTCAGAGAGAGGGAGCGGAAGAGAGACTGAAAAAAAGGGAATGCTTTAGTATTTTGAACAGTGTACCCTCCTACTCACTCTCACTCTGCCAGCCATGTTTTCCTCTGGCTGTTTTATAAAGTGCCATCCAATGCAAAGGCACAGTTTGTTAAAGTGATGGTTAACTCCAGAATCCAGACGTTTTCAGCCCTTCAAAAGTTGTCTAATGTTGAGATGAGTCCATGTCCTACAGTGTCTGTTGTTCGATCCAGCTATATGCCTCAATCCCAATATTTCAATTTCTATGCTTCCACGTTCCTGATTATTTATCGACAGATGCCGTTGGGTACTGCTGCAGTTGGTTTGCTAAGAACTGGTGGTGTGGAAATGTTGCCTTAATGAGTATAAATTAACCTACGAGTGTTAATTTGTTTGAACTCATGACACTATTGATTGTTAGATGATACAGCAACAAAGAAGTCCTCATGGTCAACTGCCTTCTGTTCAGCAAGAGACATTCACACTTGTTGAGCGGCACTAATTGCTAACCCAATTACTTTACTAAGCAAGTAAACCAAAACCTAGTAATGTTTTTGTAATATATAGCACACTGAGGCAGGGATGCCGGTAGAAGAACCATGTTTCTGCCCCACCATAATATTGCATATTGTAATGTAACCTCTCTCAGGCCTTCACCATTAACGTGTGTACAGAGTTCAGTGCTGTGTTTTCCATATCACGTTGTACCTCTCCTCCTCCCCAGATGTCCGGATGGATACTTCGGCCCGCGGTGCTTGCAGACTGAGCCGTTACGATTGCGCATGCCCAATCCTTACAAAAGTATGTTCACATGACACCAACAGCTGAGAACAGAGTCACGGTTGTCACTGTGTTACCTCTATAGTCCTCCTCTTCCTTCTCCTCCTCATCCTCCTCCCTCTCAGGTCAACCAAAGCCATGGGTGGTGTGCGGCACAATGGTGTCACCGGTGGGATCACTCTGCTTCTACTGTCCGTGGTGTTGCTGCGGTTCTAATTCAGTGTTTTTCTGCTTCTCTCTTTCTTTGTCTCTCTCTCTCGTTCTCCCTTCACCTCCTCCCTGTCTCTTGTGCATATCCTCTCCCCCCCCCACCCGTGCTCTCTCTCTCTCTCTCTCTCCCTCTCTCTCTCCCTCTCCTCTCTTCTCTCTCTCTCTCTCTCTCTCTCTCTCTCTCCTCTCCCTCTCTCTCTCTCTCTCTCTCTCTCTCTCTCACTCCTTCCTCCCTTCCTCCTCCCTCTCTTTTTGCGGTTTTGTTTCCTTCCATCAGGTGTCCGAATGACTTTACTGGTGACCGCTGTCAAAACTACGTCATGGCCAGTTTCTACCGTATGTCCATTTCCTCTTCTGTCTGTCCTGTCCTGTCCTGTCTGTCTGTCCTGCACGTTGACTTGAGGCATGGGCGCCGTGTTGTGTTGCCCTTCATAGTTGTTATTCTACCATCTGTGTCTGTTGACTCATCAATTCAACTACCTTGTCCCGTGGCGATGCTCCCCTCAGACCAACACCGTTCATTTGTTGATGTTCTAATTTTAGAACAAATTACTGCATTAGAGAGAATTAGCATAGCGATGCATACACTGGACGTCTGCATGTGACTTGGTACTGAATGTCCTTGACGTTAATATGTACAGTAATTGCATGTGCTCTGCTAGAAATAACCCTAACTGAGTTGGATTGCTGAGTGTACCTCCAGATATTTGAAAACTCTACTACTAGTTGACTGCACGGCAGCGCAGTCTAATGAAAAACACATGATACAATATCAAACCCTCCCTAACAACATGACAATAATGCTTGTATGATATCGAATCAAACACATTAATTTGTGATAAAATTAGTGCTGATCCATGGACAGAAAGACCCTGATTTATATTGCATTAGTTATCCAACATGTATGTCAGGTGACATGGCTGTTAAGAATTAGACTGATGACACCTGATTTAGCTTAATGACATTGCTAATTGTAATACAAATTGACTAATTTTCTAATTTATTTGTATCTTTTGTCAATTAGTTATTGATAAGACAAACTATCCCAGGGTCATTTTTGACTATCCGTTCATGTATCATCTCTAAATCCCATGGGAATGCAATAAACAAAGTCAGCATGTAGGCATTGCATCACTTTATACGGAACATGCTGGTCTTTATAAAATGCACAGGCAGTTTACAATGACAACACCTGCCTTTACTAGTCACATCATGGATCAGGACATGTATGTAGAATGCCATTCTCACAGTTGTTTTCCCTGACCACACACAAAATCTCTCTTAGCTTGCCCTGCAATACTCTTCACTGTTTTTGTATGAACAAGTCCCAAGCTTTAGCAGCAGCAGAATGCCATCCTCACCGTAAAACAACAGACCCTGGCTGCCTGCTCTCACAGAGGTCCCCCTCAGCTCTTAGTTCCTGCCCTGTAATTACAGTGCAGTATTGAATAGAACTAGTGGCCCGGGGCGACAGACTTAAACCCTGTACCGGCGCTCCACGTTGGCAACCCCAGCAAGGATGTCCGTCAACCTCACAATTACACCCAGATTAGAGAGAGGCATGTGGAGAACTTGAGCTCGGCAGCTCATGCCTTGAAGCTATTGGCTCTGATGTATGTCCGCACACTGTGTGGGATCATGCCTTTGTGCCCCACTCAATGTTGCTATGTACCCCAGTGTTTGCACTTCAACTTCTATGTTGTTAACTAGTATTTATCCGTGAGTAGATTTTTAAAGGGCAGTTTATGTATCCAAAAGAGATTTACATTAACAAAACATAAATCTGTGTCTGCTTTCTTGTAGCTCTTCAAATGTCACGTAGGGTTCTCTAGTTTCGCATGAACAAAAGGGGAAATGTACGATATGCAATTACAAAAGTCCACAGTATATGATTAAACATTGGGCCTGTTTCCAATGTCATGTCATGGCATATGATTTATAGTATTGCAATATTGTAGTTACAGTTGGGGGGAAAAGTATTTAGTCAGCCACCAATTGTGCAAGTTCTCCCACTTAAAAAGATGAGAGAGGCCTGTAATTTTCATCATAGGTACAAGTCAACTATGACAGACAAAATGAGAAAAAAAATCCAGAAAATCACATTGTAGGATTTGTAATGAATTTATTTGCAAATTATGGTGGAAAATAAGTATTTGGTCACCTACAAACAAGCAAGATTTCTGGCTCTCACAGACCTGTAACTTCTTCTTTAAGAGGCTCCTCTGTCCTCCACTCGTTACCTGTATCAATGGCACCTGTTTGAACTTGTTATCAGTATAAAAGACTCCTGTCCACAACCTCAAACAGTCACACTCCAAACTCCACTATGGCCAAGACCAAAGAGCTGTCAAAGGACACCAGAAACAAAATTGTAGACCTGCACCAGGCTGGGAAGACTGAATCTGCAATAGGTAAGCAGCTTGGTTTGAAGAAATCAACTGTGGGAGCAATTATTAGGAAATGGAAGACATACAAGACTACTGATAATCTCCCTTGATCTGGGGCTCCACGCAAGATCTCACCCCGTGGGGTCAAAATGATCACAAGAACGGTGAGCAAAAATCCCAGAACCACACGGGGGGACCTAGTGAATGACCTGCAGAGAGCTGGGACCAAAGTAACAAAGCCTACCATCAGTAACACACTACGCCACCAGGGACTCAAATCCTGCAGTGCCAGACGTGTCCCCCTGCTTAAGCCAGTACATGTCCAGGCCCGTCTGAAGTTTGCTAGAGTGCATTTGGATGATCCAGAAGAGGATTGGGAGAATGTCATATGGTCAGATGAAACCAAAATAGAACTTTTTGGTAAAAACTCAACTCGTCGTGTTTGGAGGACAAAGAATGCTGAGTTGCATCCAAAGAACACCATACCTACTGTGAAGCATGGGGGTGGAAACATCATGCTTTGGGGCTGTTTTTCTGCAAAGGGACCAGGACGACTGATCCGTGTAAAGGAAAGAATGAATGGGGCCATGTATCGTGAGATTTTGAGTGAAAACCTCCTTCCATCAGCAAGGGCATTGAAGATGAAACGTGGCTGGGTCTTTCAGCATGACAATGATCCCAAACACACCGCCCGGGCAACGAAGGAGTGGCTTCGTAAGAAGCATTTCAAGGTCCTGGAGTGGCCTAGCCAGTCTCCAGATCTCAACCCCATAGAAAATCTTTGGAGGGAGTTGAAAGTCCGCGTTGCCCAGCGACAGCCCCAAAACATCACTGCTCTAGAGGAGATCTGCATGGAGGAATGGGCCAAAATACCAGCAACAGTGTGTGAAAACCTTGTGAAGACTTACAGAAAACGTTTGACCTGTGTCATTGCCAACAAAGGGTATATAACAAAGTATTGAGAAACTTTTGTTATTGACCAAATACTTATTTTCCACCATAATTTGCAAATAAATTCATAAAAAATCCTACAATGTGATTTTGTGGATTTCTTTTTCTCATTTTGTCTGTCATAGTTGACGTGTACCTATGATGAAAATTACAGGCCTCTCTCATCTTTTTAAGTGGGAGAACTTGCACAATTGGTGGCTGACTAAATACTTTTTTCCCCCACTGTATCTGCAGTGCATACCTGTCAGCATCATAGAGCCCCACGGTGGAGGTGTCTTAATACCCATACAACCTAGCGGTCAAACAGGGAAATGGTTCCAATCATTTTTACAACATTAATTTTTCCCATAGGGAATTTTAGAAACGCTTCAAATAAGGGCTGTGTTTCGTGTGGGCTTACCCTGGTGTGACGTTTTGATAACCATGTAAATCTCTCTCAGACAAGGTGACTTTTATCAATATATTTGGCTCTATTTACTCTCAGATTCAAAAATGCTAATTAGCGTCTACAAATCCCTGCAAGGTCCTGCACGTCATCTGTAGCTGACACCTTTGCTAAAAGATATTGTGTCAATTTAAAACTTGCACAAGACAGTTCACAGAATTGTCAATTTAAAGAGATGTAGCCAATTTAGTCATTACTACATTTAGCTAACATTAGATAGTTGATCCAGAGATTCTTACCTTTGCCTCGATTCGGCAGTCTCGTCCAGATGATCATGACATTTGTAGTTCTTTATGATAGCCACATTAGCAGCTAATTAGCATTTCATTTTTGAGGGTAAATACAGGCAAAAATATTGATAAAAGTCACCTTGTCAGAGAGAGATGTACACGGTTAACAAAATGTCACACCAGGGTAAGCCAACATGAAACACAGCCCTCATTTTAAGTGTTTCTAAAATTCCCTATGGGAAAAATTAATGTTGTAAAAATGATTGGAACCATTTCCCTGTTTGACCGCTAGGTTGTATGGGTATTATGACACCTCCACCGTGGGGCTCTATGATGCTGACAGATATGCACTGCAGATAACTACAATATTGCAATACTATAAATCATATGCCATGACATGACATTGAATGACAGCCCTGGGTACTAGTCTCTTTAGCTAACATTCCACTCCATGTACTCCATGTCATGTGCCATGTGTTTGTTTTTGACTTTGTTATTTATTATAATTCAATTTTTGAGGCTCCACAAGTTATCATGGAAAATATTTATGTTATTTCCAACAACCAATGAGAAACTCTGCCATAAATCCAAGTGCATATAGATGGGTTGGTTGTTTAGTAACAAAACCGATGCGTGTGCAACTATGGGGCAAAACAGACGGGGTTGGCTTAGATTGTTGACAACATGTAAACTATATTTCTTCTCCAATGTTTATTGAAAACATAAATAAATGTGCACAATGAGCACTTATTGTCTCTCAAATACATCGATACAGTTGTTGGTTAGCTAGCTAGTGAATTTGAGTTATATTAGCATTGACATAAAATCAGTCAAAACAAGACATTGTATCAAGAACCAGATGAAACTAGCTGGAACAAGTCGCTTACGATTCCCCACTTGGCAGTTTCTTGTCATTGTTGGTAGCTATCTGGCCATCCAGAATCGCAACAACTCACAGACTTCTGGCCGAAAGGCCAGTCTCTTTGGCAATGAAAAGGAGTGGAATGTTAGCTAAAGAAACAGACTCATGTATACTGTTCAGTTGCAAAACATATACCATATGTAATATAAGCGCCTACAGACCTTTACCAGAGCCCATGCATACAGCCTGGTACTGTATTCAACTGTACTGAAGTGCTAGCCCAGAGCAGAAGGCAGTGTGTTGGAGCTCTCTCACTCTACAGCTACATCTATCTTACTGTAATGTTATGTTTAACCTTAGTGCAACTGAGATTAACACAATTACCTCTCTTTTCAAGAAGTGTATTCATTGTCAACTCTAGTCAACCGAGCTAAGCCTTTTTTCCTCAAATAACATGCTGAGACAACCTAGAAAGGATGTGTGGGTGACGCTTTCAAACCTCTTCCATTAAGATATCCACAATTAAAATACTGTAAAAACATCAGACAGGACCAAATATTTCATTAACATCGGGACCAACCAGGGATATAATTAATTCATTAGTACATAAACCATTTATCTTAATCTTATCCTTAGAAATACCCCAAGAGTTTCCAGCCATGCGTGACCCCTTTGAGAGACGACTTTGCGTGTACACACAAGTAGCATTGGGAACAAGCTGAATGCTCCACTTAATAACAAAGTGAATGAGAGAAAAGGCAGACAGAAGGGGTGAAGCTCAACCCTTTCTCCACCCTCTCCCAGTGCGAGATCTGACATGTGTCATTGAATTCAGAGAGCAGGTCATTTCTGTGCACCAATTTTCTCTAAACGTGCACATTCCTGTCTGTCACGCACACAGACAGAGGTCAGGCCTACTCCAGTGACAGCACTGTAGCAAAACATGTAAATCCAAACAGGACTTTAGAAATGTACTTACTTTACTAGTCAGCCAAAGAAGAAAAGCATCTCATAACCTAAGAATTTGCTTGTTGGCTCCATTTTCCAAACAGTTAACTTGACCTGCTAGAATACGATTCTCCCATTTCGAATGACTGTATTGATACTTGTGCGATTACCCTAACAGTGTAGATTAACGGAGGAGACTGTAGAGCCACTGTCATATACAATCATCCTCTTCAGTATTTCTGGACTAGTAATGCAATCATTATCATGCTGTGAAGTTAGTTTTGAGGCCAAAACAGAACTATATAGGAGCATATAGAATGCTCTCCACCCCTACACACTCTCTCCCCAAACCTCATCCATCCCACTTAAGAGTTCCCTTACCTCCTCCTATCAGGGTGTTTCCCGTACCCCAGAGATCTCATTGACTCCTGTACAAAAAGCTTGACCGCCTCAGCCCCTCATCCGGGCCGGGCTTACCAAGAGCATGTTGTCATGACAACAGCAGGGATTTGCTGCAACCCGAGTAGAGCAAGTGAGCTTTCAGATATACTGTATGGGCTCAGACGATGGAATGGTGCAGGCAGCCCTTCTCCACTTCTCCCCATGGCCTTCCCATGCAATATAATCTCCCCTCCAAATCTGACTGGATCACTTTTCTTTGCGGATGAAATGAAGCAACACCTTCACTTAGTCAATAGTATCAAAGTGCTGGTCCTTAGATGGGGTTGATGGTGTCTTCACAAATACATGTATCCCTCTGTGAGAGCAGTCACAGGTTCTACATCTCATACAGTACATGCACTTATTGTCTAACAGTCAGCCCCTCCCGTCCCCACCACACGGTTATAATGCAAGACTACAGAATGAATTGATCTGATGTTGTATTCCAATTGCAAACAGGTAAGATTTTTCTGTTAACATGTCATGAGACATGATAACATGGTAACTTGTCATGTCCTATCAAATCCTCCCTGAATGGAGTTGCCTGTGCTGAATGGAACATTAACATTGGACTGCCATGTAGTGAGTCACAGAAGAAGTAACATCTAACATCCCTTATAGTCTGGATAATAGATTTAATTAATTAATACATTCTAATCTATTAACTGGGAGTCTAATCTATACTTTGAAAACTATGTTATTGTACTAGAGGCCCATCTGTAGTGGTAATATAATGTTTCATTAGCTAAGTAGTGCACTATGTCTTAATCTACCCTTTAATGGTTGGCCCAGAGATCCCATGTAGTCATTATGGCAGTGGATGTCTGGTTTTGCATGCCATAGTCTAGTCTAACTAACTGCTTGCTGTTGTCTTGTCTGCTTGTCTTGTGTCTGTGTGTGGTGCTTGTTTGGATGTCTTATCTTGATGTTGTCCAGCTCCATCCTGTTACTGTAACTCTTGACTCACCATCCATGTCTCAGACTGTCCCGTCAGTCCTGTTGCTCAATGCACATACTGGATATATCTGTTGGTTATCTATGTTGGAAGGTGTCTCTCCTAAACTGTTCTCTTCTTTTTTTTCTTCTTTTTGTTGTTGTTGTTTTCCAACTGTCAACTTTCTGCAATGGCAGAGCATCTTGGGATTGAATTTATGGGTATGGAACAATCCTTCATTTGAATTCCCAGCTTGACTAGAGCTGTGTATTAGATCTACTTCCGTTCTGTTTGACATGCTTCCATTCCCTCTGGACTCTAAAGTAAATGGTCCCATTGATTAACCAATCAATCTGTCAATCAACCATAACCGTAAGTCATTGGGCTGAAAAACGCACTGGCCATGCCCTGTGGAGCTGAACCTCCCTCTAACATTATCATGGGTGTCCTGATCTGCAGCCCTCATCACTACATGTACAATACATTAGACCATGTAAACAATCTGACAGGAGAGCATGAGCTGGTTTCTTGATGAGCTGGTTTCTTGATGAGCTGGTTTTAAGGGAGTATAGACTTGTAGAATCAATATGAAAGCCTGCTTGATTCATGGATCCTCCCATATGGAGTAGACTAGATTCCCCCTCCGTCCATCCTCTCCTCAGGCAGAAGTGGTGTCCTACTAGAGTGTGACTCCCTCTGGAATCTTCTCTCCGGGTTTGATGACTTCAGACTTATCTGCGTAAGCCTCCGTGGCTCTCAGCGAGCCTGCTGTTTACGTCAGAATAAACAGTGCGAGTGCGTAGTTTCATGTGATTCTGTTAGCACTCACCGGGCTAGTGTTAACACTAGTGTGAATTGAATTACATTACTCGGAAAGAGTCGTATAACCTCTCAGCCCTCCTTAGACACGTAAACACACACACACACAAATATACCTCCCTCTCTCTCTTTCACACTCTCCCTCTATCTCTCTCGTACATACACACACACACACACACACACACACACACTGTTCAGTACTTCCCGTACTGTACTTTTAATTGATAGTGATGGCACATGTTTTAATGGTCCACCTATTATAAAGCAGGAACTGTACCATGTTTCAACTTGTATTAGCCAACGACAGAATCCATAGCCGCATCATTGACACACAGACAGGAGCTCAGGATGAGTGCTGCAAATAGGACACCCATGTTCTCCTCTATCAACCAAAGCCTTCAGGGTTTGCTTCATGTTTTCCCCTCCTCTACCTCTGCCCCCTGTTAGCATGCTATGCCAGGTTTACAGTTGACTACCCCCCCCCCCCCCCCCCCCCAACATCTTAACTGTGTTATTATCCTCATCTCCTCAACACTTCACCTCTAACCTCTATCCTCCTCTCATTTGAAACCTCACTATACTTGTTTGTAAGTCAACCTTCTCTGTTCTACCTGCACCCATTCATTTCTTTACTATGGTTGAGAATTGTCTGTAAAAGTAGAATGCTTTGTGTGACTGTGCTCTTTTTAATTAAGTTACTGTGGTATGAGCATGTCATACCTTATTTAGAGCATACAGAAATAGTCTGTTCTTTCAGTACCTCCTTTCCCGAGGAATTGCCTGTGATACTAGAGTTGTATATTTTCTTATGAGACCTCACTGTAAAAAAAAAAATGGTGGAACTACATTCAGGTATATTTGTGTGAGGCTCCGAGAATGTTTCCTCTCACTGTTGAAAATTCTTTATCGCTAGATAACAACCAATACGGCTGACCTATTGCTCTTTTCCACTATAAATAAATAGTAGCCTTGGTGATTTATTTATAGTGACAGAAAACAGAGTTGCAGCGACAGGCTGATGTAAAATGGCCTGTGCTGCTGGTGAACGAAGGGAGTGGGTGAGAGAGAGAGAGGCAACCTCAGATGGGAGGAGCTGTACAAATGCAATTCATTTTTATTACATTATTTATCACAGGCCCACTACTACCATCAGTATTTCCCTTGTTCCCTTGTATTTCCCTTGTTCCCTCGTATTTCCCTTGTTCCCTCCACTCTCCCCTGGTTAAGCCACATCCTCCCCTCCTCACAGGAGCATTTCTATGGGAAAGGAAAGAGGTTGAAAATACATTTTAGTTAAATGTTTTGTAACATTACATGTAATAACAATAGTTAAACAAATCTTATTTTTTGCATTCATTTGTGTTATACTAGAGAGCGTTGAATGTAGAGCATGTTCAAAGCCTGCAGGGACCCCTTACCTGCGATTCTGCTTGTTTGAGTGCCTCAGTGTAAAATGGTCTAGCAGAACGGACAGTGAGAGGATGAGAGGCCTCTATGTAGCTGAGTGTTGATCTGATGGGCTATTCGTCAGAAGCGATCCCTTGGATGAATGAGGCACTCTTACAATCAGAGCAGCAGATTTGGGACAGTGTTTCTGTTTCAACCTGTTTTGGGTAGACCTCCATTAGAGTGATGCTTCTATAACAGTGATCCATAACAGCGACATGAGTTACAGTAAACCCAGCCCAACCATTCACACTGCATTTACACAACACGTATGCTACAGTAATTAACATGAATTTAATATCATTTCTAGAGAATGCTGTACAAATTCCCAGTTAATGTCAGCCATCTAAATGTCAAACATTTTGAGCGCGTTTCTAATAAGTACCCCAGGCATCTTGTTTGGTTAAGGATGTTGAAACAACAATTATTCCAATAATAACAATTCATATTTACTAGCTTTAACTGGCTTATATTATGTCTATTGCTTTGATACACGTACAGAGCGAGAGCAGCATCTGCTGTATTGGTTAGTGTAGGAGTATAGAACCTGTGGAGACAGGAGGAGGGGTGTGGGATCAGGATATGGTGTGAAGGGATACAGATTATGTGTTAACAGCTTCAACTTCAAGGGACTGATGTTGTTTTGTTCTTTTTTCCTTGTACTGTGTGTGTGTGTGTGTGTGTGTGTGTGTGTGTGTGTGTGTGTGTGTGTGTGTGTGTGTGTGTGTGTGTGTGCGTGCTGTCCACAGAGGCGGAGGAGCTCTATCAGAAAAGAGTCCTGACAATCACGGGTATCTGCGTGGCTCTGTTGGTGGTGGGAATCGTGTGTGTGGTGGCCTACTGCAAAACCAAGTAAGCCAGCCCAGGGCAGTATACAATAGGTTTAGCTGTGTTCGATAGACCCTAGCATAGACGGTTATCTCAACTCCAGTGCTATGTGAGTGACTGGGGTATTCTTCCTCCACAGGAAACAGAGGAAGAAGATGCACAATCACCTGCGGCAGAACATGTGTGCAGATCACCCCAACCGGAACCTAGCGAACGGACCCAATCACCCAGGACCTGGCCCTGAGGAGATACCCATGGTAGATGTGAGTCAAACATCCATTGATTATTTTACTGACTGATCTGTTATGATTAATGGATGGATAAGTTGATTTTTTATTTATATGTTCGTTTGTGGAGTTTTTGTACTATAGGATACATAATTTTACTTTCCTATAGTAGACCATGTGTACTCTCTTGAAGGGTAGTGATGTCACAGGTTAACTGCCTTCAATAACTAAGCCTCTCCCTCCAGAACACACACACGGTCAATCAACAGAGCTTCAAATCTGTCAGGACAGTCTTTGTAGTAGTAATGTGCGTAAAGTTACATAATTTCATACCATCTCTCCAAACCCTTTCTCTGTGTGTTTTAGTATATCTCAAAGAATGTGCCTGCAACAGAGCGAGTCATACGGCATGGAACAGTGGCCTCTTTCCCCGGCAGCCATGCGTCTTCCAGATCTCACAACTCCTATACCCATGCCCATTCATCCACTCACAGGTAACCCCGCCCTCACTCAACATCCACCTTACACTCTACACGCACTACAGGTAAATGTTTTGACATGCACATCCACACACACAGGAGAATTCACACAGGCATACACCTACACCCTAGACAATACTCTGGTTGAAACCTATGTTTTGGTCCTCTCTTATCTCAGACACGAGGAGCGGACGTGGAGCCTGGAGCGGACTGACAGTGTCCTCTCGGACTCGCCGGGCATGACGTCGTCCTCCGTGGGGACCAGTAAATGCAACAGTCCTGCGTGCATGGAGGCCAGGGATAGACGTGCCGCACACTGTGGCTTTACTGTGCCCCACCGGCCGGGCCTGCACTACGGAGACTCGTTCGACTCGCTGGGGGACTCTCCACACAGCGACAGGTGGGAAAGGAATAGGCCCATCTCTGTGGTTATGGCACTGGGGCATGTTCTAGTGCCCACCGTAGGAGGCCTCGTTTTACAGCTGGCTCTCTATCAGCCCCTGGAGGCCAGCGAGGGTACTTTGAAAGCGTCAATGGCAACTACTACTCTACCATAGTCAGACAGGATGAGTTAGGCCAGGCAGGCCTCAAAATTGCTACTGTTTTTGTGTCCTGTTCTGATAAAGGATAAAGTAGGTATATTAAAATTCAGTTATATCCAGTTGTATTTTGCTATATTAAGGTCAAAAGTGTTTTGCGTGTCAAAGCCGGTCAACAGGAGAGAGCCCACATACAGCTGTATTTCTTGTGAAGAATTTGCTATGTCAAGCCCACTGTTCTGTACTGTACTCCCCTAACTCTGTATGGCAGCAAAACAGGAGGCTGGATACCGTAAGGGCTTCATTAAGACAAGGAGAGTAGAACAACAGATCTGATCTCTGGGGTGGAGCTCTAGCGAGCAGGTCTCTGGTGTGGCTGTGGTTGTCAACTCTACTGTGATCTCCGCCCTGGGTTGCTGTATGCCTAAAGATCGAGCACAGATGTTATTGTAGGGACACATCTTCATCTTTTCCAGAGGTTTAGCGAAGTTTACAGAACTTTTGTTTCTATTCACTCATTTTAGCTGGAACCACTCATTTGTTTCAATTAAGATGGTAAGATTTTAGTTTTAGAGTGTTTAAGTTAGTGAGAGTGAGCTCAGCTAATAGCTACGGTGGGTTATAATTAACATTTGACTGAACAATGCCAGGCAGCGTCACAATGCTAATCTTTCCAACAGGATTACAGTGGAATGGTGATTACCTTTATTTTAGATTTGCCATTGGATCTTTCAGATGCTTTCTCCTAAAGTGTATACTGTGTTTTTCCCCAGTGCCATATAACATATGAAGGAAGATGGACTGTACTGGGGGAGAGGGACACTAGTTTAATGGGACATATCTACACGTTGTACAATATAAACATTAAAACACCTCAAAATTCAGCACAACACAGCAACACACACACTGATGTTTTCCCTAGATATAAGCCTTCTCTAAGGCTAAAGGCAGTGTTGGGGAGTATTGAACTACATGTAGGCTAGTTCAACTAGGCATTTAACTACATTTTGCAGTAGCTTGGTGGTAGCTTAACTAAATTAAAATCTTGGTAGTGTTTTCAGTAGTTAATAACTTTTTTGCCGTGTAGCAGTGTAGCTAACTACTGGAACTACACACTACTTTTTTTTTGGCACAAATCTAATAAAATATGGGTGAGGTAGGCAAGAATTTCCTTTCTTTTTCATCGTTTTTATGTTTAATAAGCTAAATAACACTTTCTGTTATTATGACCCCAAAGTGATGTGATCCTTGCAATTTGTAGTCAATGACATTTCAGATTTACATATGATAATTTTTCACAAAGTAGTTTGGATGTGGTGAACTACTTTTTCAAATAAACTTTAGTTAAGTGAACTTTTTGTTTCTTAAGGGTAGCTTTAGTGTAGCTTAACTTCTTCCAGTGTGAAGTAATTGGTAGCTTGGTTAACTATATTTTCAGAGTAGCTTCCCCAACACTGGCTAAAGGTCACATTAACCAATAAGATGAACGCATTCATGAACATAACAAAGATATAGCAAACTGACTGTACAGACAAACAGGATATCACAAACACCATCCACACACAACTGACAAACCTCTGCACACTAACTCAACAACATTTCTTACTGCTGTTTGTGGATGGTGGGTCCCTGTCCCACGTCACTCTGTTAGACATGACATCTAACTCAGCTGCTGCTGTTTGGCCTGGTCCTCTCTCTCCTCTCCCTGCCCTTCTCCTCCCCACTCCCCACCCCATCTTCACCCTCACCACAGGTATGTGTCGGCCCTGACGACGCCGGCCCGCCTCTCTCCAGTGGACTTCCATTACTCACTGCCCCCGCAGGTGCCTACCTTCCAGATCACCTCCCCCAACACCAGCCAGGCCATGTCCCTTCCGCCAGCCGCCCACACCCCCTACCCTCTGGAAGATGACCAGCCTCTGCTGCGGCGCTACCAGGTGCCCCTGCACGATGTCCAGCGCCAGGAGCCCTATCGGCAGCAGCGACGCACCTACCTGAACGACAGCACGGGCAGCCTGCCATCCAGCCCCTACCGGCTGGCTGAGGAAGAAGACTACGAGACCACGCAGGAGTACCTCTCCTCCCGAGAGCAACCAAAGAGAAGTGGGTCAGGCAGCGGTGGTGGTGGGGGTCGGCGCTTGCGGAGGTCCAGGCTGAACGGCCACGTAGCGCCGCGAGGATATGAGGCATCACGGGACTACGGCTCTCGCAGCTGCCTGACGGACAGCGAGTCGGAGGAGGAGGAGGGCGAGAGCACGCCCTTTCTCAGTATGCAGAATATGAATGCCGAGCCCTCCACCATCTACAGGCCGGCCGACAGTCGGACTTCTCAGTCGCACTCTTCGGGGCGGCACGGTGCACGCGGGAACGTACAGACCAGACAGACGCACTCGCGGTCCAAACCGGACAATGCACCCCACTAAAGAAAGAAGACGACCTACCAACAAAAATCTATATACTATAAACCTGCACCTATAAGAAATATTTTTATTTTATATAACTGACAGATATTCTAAACAAATGAAATATTTATTTTCATTTTAGCAAAAGTTGTCTACTAGTTAACAGCAAAGACTTTTTTATAGGGAAAACTCTATTTATATGTACATTTTGATTTACAGCATAAAAACACGTGCCAATTTTTTCACAACTTAAAAAATAGAGTAATATTGTGGTGCCTTTTGCTGTATGCCGATGCCAGAGGGCCAGTGGAGGTTTTTGTAGCCTTTCTTATATGGACATCATTTTTTATACACGTTTTCTCTTTTGGCTTTTTCTTTCTTTCCAGGCTGCGTTCTTCTGGGGGTCTAGCCCCATTTGAACATTACCCCTCCCCTTCCACATCATGCAATATAAACCACTTAATCATAAGGTGTATGTTTACATGAATATAATTCGCCTATAAGGTTTATCATTTTTGGCATCCAATAGAAAATCTGATGAATGCAACGCAGGTTATTTTTGCTCTCTGAGTGAAGGAGTGTGTGTGTGTGTGTGTGTGTGTGTGTGTGTGTGTGTTAGATGTCCTAATGTGGTGTTGTACCAACTCATTGCTCTATTGGGCACCAAAGCAAGCTGTATCAGTAGAGGAAAGCTGCTGATGCACAGTGAGGCCCAGCCTGGGCTCCAGGGTTGTGCTGCTGTTGGGTAGAGCGTTCTGTTGGGTAGAGAGTTCTGTTGGGTAGAGCGTTCTGCATGTCGTTGCTTGATGTGTGTTTACAGCTGCCCCACCTAACCTTCCCCACCTAACCTGCCCCACCCCACCCCGGTCATCCTTGTCCCAACAGGGTAAGGTTTGTTTCATGGCCCCCTCCTTGTCCCAACAGGGTAAGGTTTGTTTCATGGCCCCCTCCTTGTCCCAACAGGGTAAGGTTTGTTTCATGGCCCCCTCCTTGTCACAACAGGGTAAGGTTTGTTTCATGGCCCCCTCCTTGTCCCAACAGGGTAAGGTTTGTTTCAAGGCCCCCTCCTTGTCCCAACAGGGTAAGGTTTGTTTCATGGCCCCCTACTTGTCCCAACAGGGTAATGTTTGTTTCATGGCCTCCTCTTTGTCCCAACAGGGTAAGGTTTGTTTCATGGCCCCCTCCTTGTCCCAACAGGGTAGGGTTTGTCTAATGCCCCCCTCTTTGTCCCAACAGGGTAAGGTTTGTCTAATGCCCCCCTCTTTGTCCCAACAGGGTAAGGTTTGTCTAATGCCCCCCTCCTTGTCCCAACAGGGTAAGGCTTGTCTAATGGCCCCCTCCTTGTCCCAACAGGCTAATCCTCCAACGTCCTGGCCTATCTGTGATTCTGAAGAAGAAATGCCATTTGCCAGTGTACAGTAGCAGTTAGTCTGCCATCAGTGATAGTGGCTCAATACAAAGAGACTTTCTCCCATGACCCCCCATGCCGCCTCCTCCTCCTCCTCTTCCTCACCTGTCCATTGTGTCCCCGTGACCAGAGTAAAGGGCCGCACAGCGTCTCAGGACTTCCACCCACCCCTCTGCCCTCTCCCCCCCTCCCCCTCTCCCTCTCCCTCTCCCATCAGACCTGAGACTAAGGTCCCCCCAAGGACATAAAGGACACACCCAACTTGCTATTCCTCTGAGCACTCCCATCTAGAGAAGTAAAGCAGAGTGGAGAACAGAACTGAACACACTAAACCAATACAAGATAAATAGCTGTGAAACGTTGGAGGGTCATAAAATGCCAAAATATGCAAACGTTCTATTTTGCTCTGTTTGATGACATCATTTTCTAAGAGGTGACTGTAGTGTGTTGTGTGAAACCTATGTAATGCCTATAGTGTAGAAGAAGAAGCAACGTGATCTTAATACATATTGATATCATTATCATTTTTCATGCAGTTATACAGCCATTGCTCAAATTGTCAATTTTTCTCATTCACAGATTCATGTCCATTGATTTATTGTGTTCATGAATTCTTATCTCACTGAGTTGAGACCAAGCAGACAACATGCAAGTCTACAGTAATGACTAACCACTTTAAAGGGTCTCATTCACTAATGTTGAGTGCTGCTCAGTCTTAAGGATAGTAATTTGTTGCCTGTTATGAAGTATGTAACTAACTGGTTATCAATTTCAAAAGTTAACAAATTATTTGCTCAAACTTCTATGTCCTCCACTCCATGGAAAGGTAAAGGTTTCATAACTGTCAAAAATTTAGGAGGAGCTTGTTTTGACAATGCATTTTAAATGTAGTGACAGAAAACAGTTGATAATCTCGCAAAACTGGTCATATACGTTTTTAAATACACCAAAAAAACTAAAATTACTGTACCAGGACAAATCATCAGGTTAATCTAGATGAACAACCGAACTGACAAGTAGGATTTGAAACAGAACGTGTAACTGCTGTATGATGAAGACACAGTGACATAGACAATGGTTTTCTGTCTCATCTCACCTATGGATTTTCTCTCCTTTTGGTTTTTCACACTCTGGGTCTAATTTTGAATGCAAAAGAAGACAGTGCTTCTCTAGTTAGTTTAAATGTGATATTTCCCCCATCTTGTCCCTCTCCTCACCCAATAGAAGTGCTGCCAGATTCATCCTGTATTTATTTTCTTCCACCTCTCCTCTGCATGTGCTTGTGGTCAAGGTTAGATGGGTGCATGGTAAAAAGCAGCAGACCATTTTTTTCAGTCAGTGAAAGTGTATTTAATTTCACATTCAGCAATAAAAAATAAAAAATAAACCCCCCCCCATGTCCATTCTTGGAATATGCTAGAAAAATGCGAGATTGTCATAGATTGTTAAATAAAATGACAAAATTAATCCACCTGTTCATATGAGAGAACACATCTTTATTCATATAATTTTAACATAAAGTGGTAATCTCTGTGCAGGGCTTTGGTGTGTGTTTTGAAATGTTCTTAGCCATTGGGTTGAGGTATGGCTGGTTTTGGTGAACTTCCTGCTTGTGACATTCTTTTTGTTTCCAGTATCTGAAGTGTGTGCTGTGATACGTCTCTTGTACAGTAACACCAAGCGTGCCATTTCTCAGAAATCTTTAGAGGAAATATTGTTCTCTGCTACACACAGGTAAGAGTTAGGAAAAATGGTCCCTTGTACACACAAATGAATGAATAGTATACTAGACTATCTATGTCTGCTAAGGACACTGATTGTGTATAGTTTAGGTAGGCTGTTGTACTGTACATGAAACAGGCATACACGAGTTTGAGTGTAAAAATGTGTCTTTAATGTACACACGGGGAACATGAAACTTTTTACACTGTAGGCCACCACCTGCTCACATCAGTGGTTCAGTGTCTAAACAACAATTCTTTCTGACTTATCTCGCAAGACATTTCCAAGACATTCATCTGGCTTTCATCATCGCTAACACATTTCTTTCCCTTCGATGACCCTGATCAACTATCAGTTTTTATGTGGCGTTAGTTCTCACTGGTAAATCCTGACATGCTAAAACTTGAAACATGTGCTTCATATTATTTCACTTCTGTCAAACCAATTTTAAAACAAGCCAGTGAGTGGTTTTGGAATACACATCGATACTGTAAGAGGACTTCTTGGAATATACCGCAATAGATTTGATCCTATTCAAAATACTGCTATTATTGGCAACTATGTTTCCAACTCATTTAAAACTCAACAAGCATTGCAACATGTTCAACTCACTCACACACTCATCTTGCATTCAGGGCCCTTATCAAAGCAAAGCTTGTAAGTCAGTGTCCCAGACTGCCAGCCTGTGCAGGGAGAGTGCACGCTTGAGAAACAGCATTTATTTTCTAATAAACTGAAATGCTTCTCTTAAAGATATCTGTAATGTCCACTTTATAACAGCATTATGAAAGCTAATGGAGGGTTCAAGAAAAGAGTAACCCATTTTCACCACTTTTTTTTATTTTGCATGAAATGTACTAGCTGACTTTTCACATCCTTTGAAACAAATCTGAATTGTGGCTATCAAAAGAGAGAGAAGTGATTGCTTCCGAGGGAATATTGTGTGAGATATTTCTCCATGCTTCATTCAACTGTTCAGATCAATTTGGCATCTCTGTGCTTTCTGTTCCAGTACATCTGCTTTGCACGTCTTTGCAAGGTCAAAAGCCCTGTTAAAACAGCATTACGGTAAATATGGAAGGCCAGAGGTAGACTCTTCTTTGTCCATTCGCATCAATTGTCACGTCAGGAAAAACTCTGCCTTTATCTAAAGAATATGGAACTGAACGAACGTGTCTCATCAGTCACGGATAGAACATTGTAACTATCTTGTATTTACAGTATGCCTTGCCTTACAGACATGACTCACTTTCAGCACTTGTGGGGAAAAGAGGCCCTCTCTTGGTAGGGATTGTTATTTGTTAGTCCATTGGCAGGTGAAGGGTGGAACTCTGGGAGAAGACAGTGCCATGGCATTACCTCATCCTGTTCACATCAACTTGGGTGAAGAAGCATTGTTCACTAATTTGATAGAAGACATGATTATCCATGTTTTCTGTTTTTTTATCCGACAAAATGGACCAGACAGTGCATGCCCATTGACGCACATGTCCTCTTATAAAACACACACACAGTAATAAACCTCAGCTGCTTCCTATAATTATTTGATGCTTGTAAACCTCTGATGGTATTTCCTTGGCTAATAGTTTGGTGTGGAAGCCTTCCAAGTGCATGCTGTGTCAAAGGAGGGCCCTGTGAGGGAGGGCCTTCCTTCTCCAGCATTGTTAGAGCTGGTTGTGGCCATGGAACCTAACCCTCCACTGATTGCTCTGAAATTGCAGGTCAGCTCCACCCTTTGCAAAGGATGTCTATTTGAAGAATCTCAAATCAAATTTTTGTTTTGTTTGTTTAACACTTTTTTTGGTTACTACATGATTCCATATGTGTTATTTCATAGTTTTGATGTCTTCACTATTATTCTACAATGTAGAAAATAGTAAAAATAAAG